ATTAACTATGTCTTCTCAGATTTTTAGAAACATAAAACATCTTTAAGGCCTCCATCCATTTTCATCTTTCACCCCCTTTTGGATCATAATGGTCCCAAACACCTCCAATCACTACATGGCACACCCCAACACCTAATAAAGACATATGAATGCAATATGGACCTAAAGATATCTAAAACCTAATCTATATGATAATTTATGTACAAAATGAAATGCTAAAACAATGCAAATATGCAAGATATCAACCATCAAGATTCAACGCAATGTCCTTAAAAATAGTTATACGTTGCATCATCTAAACAATCTATCAATATGATTCATTGTTGGCAACACAACTCAAACTTTACTCTAGAAACCGAGACCTAAATAAAACTCAAACAATAAGCTCAACGCAACTCTCTACATTCATTTAAATAATAAGTACAGTTTTGCAAAGGGAGTATCAATCATTCTCATTTGGTTAGGTTTAAAGGCTTTTGTGACTTAGATTAAAGAAGCTTGTGTATACTTAATGTTACCGATCACTAGTTCTCTGTAGATACTATCCTAAAGTACTGAAATGACATACCATTTGATTGTTGTAGCGTGCACATTGGATTAATTGGCATGTGGTTAAATGCATAAATCAATTTTGTGCTGTTGCCAGAGAACTAGTTCGATTTGTCATTAGGATTCTAAATTTCTTTACGACTAAGTATTTTTTGTATGTTTTGTATAGTGTGTTTTTGGTTACTAAAACCCCTTTCAAGCGTTTGTTCTTTTACAACAGCGAAAAAGGAAAAAAAAATGAACTGGAGAGTGTAGAAAGAAAGAAAAGTTGCTAGAGACTGAGTGAAAACAAATAGCTCTAAGTTTTACAAAATAAGCTCCCCTTTGATTCACAAAAAGAAAAATATAAGAATAGAAAAAGAAAAGAGCCAAAGTGAAGAAGATTTTCCTAGTTGACTAGCAAAAGAAAAACCAGGTTCATTTGGGTGAGTGAAAATAAAGAAAGATCTTTGAATTTGGGATGAGTGATTGAAAATTTAGCATTAAGGAAAAGGGTAGAACTTGCATATATTTTAGGATTGGGTAGAAAAAAGAGGATCAATTGTTGTATGCATAAATTATTCATTTTCTTAGATAATTTTTGTGTAATGTCAATTAGCCTTTGTTTGAGAGAAAGCCACCCAAAATCATGCGGTGGGGGTTTATCTAAACTACTAAGGCTTTAACTGGTGACCAAAGGAATGTGTGGGAATAGTTAATTCCTCTTTATTCCTTAAATTTGACACCATTTATAAGGAATCATAATAGTTAATTCCTCTCAATTCCTTAAATTTGACACCATTTATAAGGAATAATTTTTCTTCAATATTCCTTCTCATTCCTTTTAATTTAAGGAATCAAAGAACAAAATCATTCCTTATCAAATCCGGGGAGGAACAATATGGAACAAGTGTTCCTATTATTTTGTTCCTCTTCATTTCTTTCCTCGTTGTTCCTATTATTCCTTTGGTGGTCACCAGTCAAAGCTTAAAACAAAAAGACATCTAATAACAATTACAAAATAGAACTAACAAAAGCAAGCCATCGGGTTAAGATAATTGATTAGGGATGAAGGAGTTAAGACTTAAGATGACATATATAATCAACTAACAAGTTTCGTTGACCTAGGAACACAATGATAAGCTAATCCACTCTCGTGATAAAAGCTCCTATGCTATTCGTGCATCAATACATCAACTCTCGTTAGTCAACTACACTCAAGCATGCAAGGAAAACAAATCCTAAGAGTCAAAGTTCCCTTAATGCAGCAACTCTCGTCGGTCAAGAAGCAAAACAAAATATGAAACATTCAGACATTTCATCGAACACCTTTCGGACATGAAATAATCCAAGATCTAGAAATAGAGAGATCAACTCCACTCTAGCATTAAACATATCTCACTTGTAAGAAAAATCATCAATATAGTCCTAAACTTCTTATATAATCCATCTTTCACCATAATCTACCTAACCCAAAAGCTCTAAAATATTACTTACTATAAGCCATAGAAACCCAAGAATCTGTCACCAATCCTTGATGAATCATATTTAGAAAAGAGTGGAAAAGATATAAACAAAATAAGTACTTAGATTAGATGTTAGAAGTAGATAAAGTTTTAGATCTAAGAACAAGAGAAAAAAACAAAATGTGGCTGAGGTACCTTAGGTATTTTTATCACCCTTAACAACATACATATAGGCATTGTGGCATGTAGGCATTGTGGCATGTGGTTAATTGCCCCTAGCACTAATGGGCTTCAAAACACTAAGGCCCAACAAAATAGCTTCCTTAGAGCATCAGTGTGCAAGATGCATCTTTCCTAAAGTGGTCACTTCAGGGTTCTAGGTAGTGGAAGATTTTCCTACAGAAAAAAAGTGATGAAGACAAGTTTCTGAGGTGGCCACTTCAGAGCTGTAGGTGAAATACAGACCAAATGCTAATGGCGATTGCGAATCTTAATAGTCAAAGTGCCCTTAATGCAGCGACTCTCGTCGATCAAGCAACAAAACACAATATGTGACATTCAGACATTTCATCGACCACCTTTCAAGCACGAAATAATCCAAGATCTAGAAATACAGAGATCAAGTCTATCTAGCATTAAACACATCTCACTTGTAAGAAACATCATTAATCTAGTCATGAACTTCTTAAATCACCCTCTTTCACCATAATCTACCTAACCCACAAGCTCTAAAAGATTACACACTATAATCCATGTAAACCCAAGAATCTGTCACCCATCCTTGAAGAATCATGATTAGAGAAGAGTGGAAAAGATATAAACAAAATAAGTACTTAGATTAGATTCAAAAAATAGATAAAGTTTTAGATTGAAGAACAAGAGAAAACAACAAAATATGGATGAGGTAGCTTAGGATTTTTATCACTCTTAACAATATATATAGGCATTGTGGCATGTGGTTAATTTCCCCTAGCACTAATGGGCTTCAAGACACTAAGACCTAAACAAAACAGTTTCCTAGAGCATCAGTGTGCAAGATGCACCTGTCTTAAAGTGGTCATTTCAGGGCTCTAGGTAACTTCAAGATTTCCTTACATCAACAAAGTACTGAAGATAAGTTCCTGAAGTGGGCACTTTGGAGCTGTAGGTGAAACGTAGACCAAATTCCAATAACGACTACATTTCTTCTTTTTCCTCCTTGCCGCTCAAGACCAAAACTTTTATTTGTTGCAAATTAATCCTTAAAATCACCTCAAAACTCTTGATAGTGCATTCCAACCTCTGTGATACAAATATGTACATATGCAACTCCTAATGACACCTAAATGCAACTCCTAGACACTAAAATAACCAAAAACAATAACTAAAAACATGTAAAAACATTATACATCACTACCACAAACTCTGCATGCTTACTATAAGTTGTAGATATTGTAAGTGTGAGACTTGAGCTTTTTGATTTGCAAGTATAGCAAGTTAGAAAAAATATATACCCATACTTGAGAATATCTTTTTTTTTTGCTAGCAATTCAAATTGCTCTACTAGTAACTTTAGATTTTATATGTTGTACATTCGCATAATGTCCTAGAAGACATGTTCCCACACCCAAAGCAGATAATGTATTTAGGTTTCCGATATATTGGAAGACAAAACTTTTTGAATGGAAGACGATGTATTTAGATAAACATGCTGATTGTACATTTAGAGAATGGAATTTTTAATATAAATTTCAAATGGAAGTTTGAAATTTCCAATATACATAAAGCATGCGGAAGCATATAATGTATTTACATAAACATTAACTAGTTGCACATCTAAATCTCTCCAATAAGTAGACATGTCAATTAGGGTGAAACCCACGGCCCTAGTCCACCCAACCCTATAAACTAATGGGTTGGGCCTAATTGTATAAGCCCAAAAAAATCAAGATTTTTTTGGCTTTAACCATTTTGAGCTTAAGTTCGTTTTGGACTAGGACCAAGTCAAAAACCCAAAATTTATATTTTAATTTATTTAATTATTTAATATTGATCTTTATTTTTTAAATAAATATAGGATTAGTACTGATGTTTTAAACAAATATAGAATTCGAACAACTGTCGTAGCATCAAACTCTAATTTTAGCATTGGTGTGTGTGTCTTAAACAAATTTCAAAGTTTTCTCCTACCAAAATATGTTGAAGCATTGATTTGTACACATATTTGGTTGGAAGGATTTACGATCCACGAATCAGAAATATATTGATATTTATTAAATTTTATTTTCTGTTGATATATATATATATATATAAATTTAATATTTGTATATTTTTATATGTAGCTTTTGATGAATATGAGAATTTGGAAGTCAGTGATGAACATTATGATCTTAATTTTACACTTTCGATGATAAAAGATAAAAGAATTTTGTTTTATTTCTATTGAATATTATTGTTTATTTGGTTTATTAGTTACGTTATTTTTAATTTAGTTTTTATAAACATATAGATGATTGTTTAAATTTTGGGTTAAACTAATTCTGATTTTAATTTAATTTATTTAATTTTAATTTATCTTCGTAAAAGTCTGAGCCTAAAACACTTTTTAACCCGTTTAGGAACGGGCCAAACATTGAAATATAGGTATAAAATTTTTGTGGGCTGGACTGAAGAAGGGAAAGTGGATGATTTAATGGAGATAGAGAAGCTTCTACACTGCTGGAAGAATCTTAAGAACCCTGTCTTCCTTGAACTTGTCTCCAGGTTCTATGGAGAGCTCTGCAGAGACCTCTTTTCAGGTGAATGAACATATCCAAAAACGACCAAAACAAAAAAGCTTATATCATTCTTTCTCAACCACCATTTCAAGGTTTACAAATGCAAAGTGACAAAAAAAAAAGAAACTAAAATGTGTGAAGACTATCAAAATTGTAACTATTCTATGAGTTTTACATAACAAAGAAACTTGGCTTTATTAACTAAACTGAATCTAGAATGTGAAAAGAGAGATACAAAGCAAATGATCATTCACCATTTTGTATTAGAAAGATAAACCTGAGATTTAAACACTGAATCTCCAATCTTAAACCCTGGCATTGTGATGAACTCTACTCTTAAATCGCCTTGTTCTTGTTCATTACGTACTACAGATTCCATGTATACACCTGAGAATCTTGTTCCTCTTCTGACCACAAAGATATTTGCTTTTCGATCCAAGGAAGCTGCAAACGATCCAAGAACCCACACCCACTTGGCCATTTTCGCAAAGATTCGATAAAACATGGTTCTTGGATGCTTACCGAGCAAAACTAGTCCCCTCATATCCAAGTTCCCAAAGAAAGAAGCTTCCATAGACGGATGAACAACTAAAAGATACTTCTGACCGCAGAATTTTGAAAACGCAGAGTCTGGAAACGCTGTTAACGCGTCTAATGGCTCGTAGAAACTCATTAGCTCTGTCACATCCCACGGGCTAATCTTCATGCCGTGAAACATTCTCTGGACAATGTATGACTCAAAAGCAAACTTCTTGTCTGAGTTCTTGGAGTATGTTACGTTTCCTACGATGGATTCCACTGCTTTCTCAAGATTCCAGTCAGTAGCTTTCATCAGAGTGATTAACGGCTTAGCAAAGTCGTGAATAGACTTAGAAGTAGCTTTAAAGGTGAACTCAAACGAGGAAACACTCATAATCCTCTCTTCGAGTTTCCTATTCTCTGCAACCAAACAGTCTAGTCTCTGCTTTAGAGAGTGAATCTCGCTCTCTTTTGCTTTCATTTGCGCCTTGAGCTTCCCCAAATGCTTCTCGTTAACTTCGGTTTCATCTCTCAACCGATGCAGAGCATCAAACTCTGTCTTGGCCTGGCGCTGCTTCGTTTTGAGGTAGAGACGCTTGATGCTTCGCAAGGCCTCGAGATGAGAGACGACGAGGTTGTCTGCTTTTATGATCTTGTCAGGATCGTAAGGCGAATGTGCTTGTTGAAACTCGAGATACGCGAGCTTAAGCTCTGACACAATGTTGAACAGCTTCGAAACCTCGTCATTGTCCCAACGAAACTTTCTCGAGGGTTTGCAACTTATGATAACGTGAATGTTATCATCATCCACGAAGAAGGTGTCTACTTCATCACAAGGGTCTTTGGGATTTGGCTTCTCGTCATTAGGGAACACACCGATGGATCTGAAGTTGCAGACTTTACCGAGTCTGGAGATGATTTCTGATAGGTTTGATGATGTTTTAACGACGGTCTTCTCCATGAGTTGAAGAAGAAGATGCCCTAAACAAAAAAGATAGTTTGCATAACATTTTCAAAAAAAAAAAGAAATATTAGAAACTTAAGTCATAGCAAAGACTTAAAAGATACAGAGGAACAGTTACAGAGACCAACCCAAGGAGTGTAGATACTCCAAGACCAACAAAGCAATTGAGAAGAAGAATAGAACAAGAGCAACACCAGCATTAAGACCAAAGACAAATCACCTGTTTGAGTTTGTACACTAGTGACAAAGCAGAGGTAAACACGAGGAAGGCCAAACAAAAGTTGGGAGTTTTTATGGTGCTCTCTCGCCTCACATAAAATGCTTGCTGCTTAACTCTGGAATTCATTAATATTCTTCTTTTTTAGATCTTACAACTCATTAATAAGACGAGAAAAACAAGACTTTTAAAAGAATAAATATAGAGCCTCGTTAATAGTGATGATTCTTGATTCCCAAACCTTAAATCGACTATATAATTGGCATTTTGTTCTCTCCCTCTCTCCTTTTTTAAAGAAAAACACTTAAACAGTTTTCGTTTTATTCTATTTTTGAATAAATCCTGGGAATCCAAGAGGAAACCCTCAGGAATCTCCACAGGCACCGTCGGGGAGAAACAAAAAACTTTGTCCCCCTCCATCTATTATTTGTTTCTTTCTTCGAGTCTATCTTAATACTTATATTAAAAATTAATAATAATACTTAATTTGTTCAACTGTGTAAATCTAATCTATACATTACTAAACATCTTGTTTCATGCTTCTTCAAATGTTCAACAACTTTTAAGGATACCAAAAGAGGTAAAAGCTGATTTCCACACGAGTTTCTATCTCCCTTTCTGTTCTGTCATAATATTTGTCTCGGGTTTTGATACAGGAAAACAAAAGTGCATATCCCAAGAAAAACGTTGTAATGCTCGCTGTACATCATTTCATGGCCACATTTATTCTATGTAGCTATCGGGTTTTTTGGCCCATTAAAAATAGTTTGAGATTTATTAAAAAAATTATGACATACTGGTGGAGCGAAAAGTCTAACAAAACGATTGTTTGGTTGATTCTACTAATATTCAATGAGAGGTTCTTCTCTCAGATCAAGCTTCAAAAAAGAAATTTCAGCTCAAAAGCTTTGAATTTTATTAACTGAATATCTCATTAACTGAATTTATATACACTCAAAAGCAGATTTAAACTTTTTATAACACAATGAATGTTTCCATTACTAGAACACTTTTTCTTAACATTTTTTTTTCGTTACCTACAATGGTTGAAACCAAAACAAATTATAATTAGTAGGAATGTTTCCATTATGAGTAACCGAGCAATCTCTATCTCTCAAAAATAACATGCTGATGATGCTGATATGTCAGGAATTTCAGCAAAGCAACCGTTGAAATGATGAGTAGAGAAGTTGGAGAGCGAGCAAATCTGGGTTTTATGGATAAAGATCTGAAAAACTACATATACCGTAAGCGAATGGCAGCAATGGAAAAGGGAGATGCTGGAGCTATTTTGGAGTACTTTCAGAAAAAGAAAGAGGATAATGCATCTTTTTTTTACTCAATGCAACTTGATGAGGACGATATGATCACTAATATCTTCTGGGCAGATGATCTGTCAATTAGTGATTACAATCTTTTTGGAGATGTTGTTTTCTTTGATAAAACTTACAAGACCAACGAATATGATAGACCGTTTCCTCCGTTTGTTGGTGTCAGTCATCATAAGCAAACTATCGTGTTTGGTGCTGCTCTCTTATATGATAAAACCTCAGAGTCTTTTGAGTGGCTTTTTTCAGATTTTTCTTGGAGCAATGTCTGGAAAACAACCACAAACAATTCTTACATACCAGTGTGAAGCAATGGCAAATGCAATAGGGAAAGTATTCCCTAAAAAAAAACATAGGTTATGTGTTTGGCATATTTACCAAAATGCTGCAAAGAGGTTGAACCGTGTATTTCATGGACCAGATCAGTTTGCCACAGACTTTGGAAAATGTGTATATGACCATGAGAATGAAGTAGAGTGGTTATCATCATGGAGTGAAATGCTCGAAAAGCATGGATTGACAGAAAATAAATGGTTGAAGGATTTGTTTGAGTTGAGAGAAAAATGGGCAAGGGTATATGGTCGCCAGACTTTTACAGCCGATAAGATGAGCACACAGCGTAGTGAAAGTATGAATAACATTTTGAAAAAGATGCGCGGGTATAACTTGTTGCGCTTCTTTGAACACTATCAGAGAGTGTTGAATGATCGGCGATTTAAAGAATTAACTGCTGACTTTGGCATGATGCATACCTAACCGGTCTTATCGGCTCCTGTAGAAATATTACAACATGCAGTGGACGTTGTACACCAGAGGTCTTTACCTTATTCCAGAAGGAATACACAGCTATTGGTGACTATGTTGCCAGAAGGGTCAATAAGTCTGAGACGGTAAGTGCTGAATACAATGTATCTTTTCGTGGTGTTGGGAGAAATCATTTGGTTAACTATGATGCTGCAAACGAAACGATACATTGTAGCTGTATGAAGTTTTCTTTTGCTGGAATCTTATGTTGTCATGCGTTAAAGGTGTTAGCTAAGAAGGATGTTAGAAGAATTCCACCTACCTACATTCTGAATCGATGGAGTAAAGAGGCTAAAGCACGAACCATATCTTTTTATCATTCAGTGACACCTAATGACACAGTGAAGCAATCAATCGGAAAGCGCTATAGTCATATATGTCGTACTTTCCGTGAGTTTGCATCCATTGCTTCTGAACATATAGAACTGACGTTGTGTGCTGATGAAGCTGCCTCTCAGTTGCTTGAAAAAATTTTGGAAAGGAAAAAGGAACTTGTGAAAGCTAATAAATGGATGGTCCACTCTTCCGATTTTGAACTTGTGGGAGAAGAAGAAGAAGTCCTAAATGCACATGGGATAAAAAGAAAAAATCCTTCTGGACGGCCAAGGAACCAAAAAGTCGGACGCCATGGTCGATATTTGAGTGTGCTTGAAACGAAAAATCATGGTAATGCTAAAGCAAAGAAGAAGTTATCATTTAAGGTATTTTATATATAGTTTTCATTTCTTTTTTTTTATTAATTTTCATTGAATTGGGACTTAAGCATTGTATATATATATATATATTTCAGGACTCAACTCTTCCTCTTGATAACCAATTATCTGTTGCTGCCACTAGTTCTACCTTACATAATGAGCTTTCTTTCTCAGAGCTGCTCCAGGTTAATACTTCATTAATTCTCTATACTATTTATATTGGGAAAATTGACAAAATAACCCTCAACTTTCAAAATTAAGTCAAAAAAATCTACAACTCACAAACACGCCATTTTAACCTTCAATTTCTAGTCAAACATGAATAAATCTCATACTTTCGTTGACCAAGCCATTTTAATCTCGTCAAAATTCAATCATTTAATTCCGTTAGTTATATTTAATGGTTGACTTTTAATGAACCTAAAATGGCTTGGTCAACGAAAGTATGAGATTTTTTTATTTTAATTTAAAAGTTGAAGATTAAAATTGTTCATTTAAAAATATCTTAACTAAAAATTGCTATTTTTGTTTTATTTTTTAGCAAAAATATTAGTTTTTTATGTCGATTAGAATGACTAACTTAATAAAATATGTTCAAATAAGCTTATATATAATATTTTTAATTGAATTAAAAACAATTGTTTAGTAAAAAACTTGATTAAAAATAGAATTATACTGTAAATTGAGATATAAAATAAAATAATTAAGTGCTTATGTTCAAAACAATTTTAAGAATAAAAACATAAAAGTTAAAGGTAAAACGCTATAAACATTGTTGTTAAAAGTATACTCACATATACTCAATAGAGGATGAAACAAGTGAAAAGGAAAAAGTCAAGTGCGTGAAATGGATTTCTGGCAGCTGATGTATAGAAATTTTTTTTTAATTCATTTTAATATTATATCTAAACTTATTTGAACATTTTTTATTAAGTTAACGATTACAATCGATATATAAAATTACATTTTTCTGTCAGAAAAAAAATAAATTTTAATTAAGATATTTTTATGTAAGTAATTTTAATCTTCAATTTTTAAATTAGGATTAAAAAAAATCTCATACTTTCGTTGATCAAGCCATTTTAGGCTCATTAAAAATCAACTGTTAAATATAACTAACAGAACTAAACGATAGAATTTTGACGAGATTAATATGGCTTGGTCAACGAAAGTATGAGATTTATTCGTGCTTGACTAGAAGTTGAAAGTTAAAATGGCTTGTTTGTGAGCTGGAGATTTTTTTGGCTTATTTTCGAAAGTTGAAGGTTATTTTGTCAATTTTCCCTATTTATATTTGAGTTATCTTTTATTTTTAAAATTTTTATGTCTCCTATTTGTAGGGATTCGACAAGAGTTATGATGGGTCATCGTAAATCTCTCTGTTATTTTAAATGGGAATGGTGACATTGATTTTGTTTTGTTTTCTTTCTTACTTCTTGTGTTTCTGGCATTTTGTTTTACTTATTATTATCTTCAGACTTTGAAAGTGATCTTTTCCACTCTCGTAGTAGCTTTTGTCAAGGGTCATTCATTAAAAAGTCTGCATCGGCTGCATATCTACTGTAGATAATCATAAAAACCATGCATTAATAGATCATCTTGTCCAAGGTTTACAGCAAATAAAAAACAGGTGCAGTGTTGACGAAGCAATTATATTGTGTCAAGTAGATGAAGTTCAATTGGTCCTTGACTTGAACTACACTTCTCCTTTCCAATATGCTCTCAACGTCAAAGGAGACTGTGTGCTTCAAAGCAACAACATGAGGACTTCGATATGCTTTAGGTAGGATTTCATTCTCCTTTCTTAAACTCTTTTGGAAGATTCAAAGCAAATCTAGGAACTCGTTTAGCTTTGATACAAATATTTTGATTTGTACATGTATAATTTGAAATATTGGTAGTTTGATACAAATATATATACCTTCAAATATAGATAGTTTGATATGTTGTACA